AAAAATGCTGATAGTGAAAGCAAATCCTACTGACGTTAATATGCACAGTAGCTGATATAAAGGGGGCGATTCCAGAGCGTTGTGACAACTCTTCCAGCTTGGTCTAGATGAAAGATCAGCCAGCGTCTGTCAATTTCTTCAACCAGGCCCCCAGAGGGCCTGAGCAAGGAGATCCCCAGCCATTTCGAGTTGCCGTTACATTTGGAAGAACGGTTCAGAGCCACCAGGAGGAAAGGGAGGCATGAGCCGTTGCCGCTTCTCACCTTGCCGTCAAGGAAGGCGCCTGCTTGGGGATGAGCTTGCTGGTTGGGTCAGGCAGGAAGACAAGTGATAAAGCAAGCGAGGTCTTCTAGCAGCACTTTGCTGAAAATTCGCTCTTGGAGTCTCTTAAAAGTTAGTTTGGCCTTAGAAGAACCTGAGGGTGATTGCCCTGCCTTGATATCTATCACTTCTACCCTGCAATGTGCATCACAAGCAAAAGCTGGAAACACAGGACTGAGTCACTGCTTCCACGTCAGGTGGGTGAGGACTGGGCCTCACCACCGCGCCCAGCTCTGGAGTGCTTGCTGGACACAGTGCAGAGGGAACCAGGGTTTTGTGCCGCTGGGCGAGTTCAGCCTCCAGCAAGAACTTGTACCCTTCGTTGACTTCGTTCGCTGAGCGTCTTGTCCCTACAGGCAGAGAGGCCCCATATCAGATGGTGAAACTAAAGACATAGTTTTCTGTTTAAGGATTTCAGGGAACAAACTTGCGGAGGAGGACATATGAGGAATGTCTCTGCATGCAGATGGCACCCAAGTTTGGCCCTGCTATATCCATACCCTGGGCACACATAATTGGCAATATCTGGAGTAAGAAAATAGAAATACGCTGATTCTTAGAAAACAAAATTCTATGTAAAAAGCTAGTTCATCAGTGTTAATTTTGGTGAATCGTGTGGTTTGAATCACAGCATGCGACCTTCAGAAATAGAAGGAAAATAGAGATAATTCCAAAGTCACCCCTAACAAAGACATAGTATCAGTCTCAGTATGGATCACACACACACACACACACAAACACACACACACCTAAATAAACTGCACAATCTCCTTCATCCTAAATTGGCCTGTTTCCCTACCCCTGGGTGACCCAGCCTGGGGGCTGTGGCCTGAGAAAGGAAGTGACTTGTTGTGATGAGAGGTTTTCCCTGGTGACCTCCATCCAGCTGGCCACAGTGGGGGGGGGGGGTTGTCTTGGGGCCCATACATGCAGGATGTGAGAACTGCCAAGACCAACAAAGATAAGGTCTTGACCCGGGACTCTTCCATCCTTAAGGGCAGGGAACAGCGGTGAGTGACAGGTCTGAGTCCAGCATTTGCTTCTAAGAGCTTCAGCCAGTAGAGTCAAACTGCACTTAAACTGTGGCCTAGTTAGAAGAAATGAGTCAAGATCACAGCCAAACAACTTTAAAGCACTTATACCAGCTGAACTGGGAGGCCAAAGCATCCCATAAAAATGGTGTGTACTCATGAGAGTCATTTCTCCAGGTGAGCATCGTGGTTTCCTCTGCTCAGCGCTGCACATCCCAGACACTATCTTTACTGTCTCCCAATCAATCTTGATGTTAAGCTTGAGAGCGTAATGAAATCAGAAAAAAAAAAAAATCTTGAAAGCAAAGAAAAAACCAACTTGGGAGCGAGGCACTTGATGGCAAAGCTGCTTTACCCAAAGAAGACTTCTGGTATTGCCTGAGGGTCCCACAATCTCTATGCTGCTGTGAGGGTGACCCTGGTATTTGATACCCACACAGCTTCCCTCAGATCAGAGAACGAGGACGGAATCTATGGACTCAGAGAGGTGGATCTCCACTTGACATCTCAAACTGTTCTCTCCTTGATTCATTTCAGTAAACACATTCCCCACTTTGCAAAGGGAAATGCTTGGCCAGGTTGTAAAGAGCCCCAGGCTATGCTTTCTGGGTTTATTATTATTACAGAAGGCAGGATCATGGCCTCCTCTTTTGGTGGACAGCCCGAACTGCTGAGGAGGGATTGCTGACACCCGTTGGCCTGTCCCATTGTTACCAGGAATTTCTTCTGTCTTGTTCTTCATACCAGTTGACCTGGTTTTCCCTTCCACACTCGGTTCCCACTCTGGTACCTTGGACCATATTCCAGGCGGTAGGCGTCCCATGTCACACGTTAAATCCTTCCTGTGATTGCTAAGCGACACAGAATGGAGAATGAGAAAGCTGGAGGAGTGGGGGATGAGACCTTACCTTTCAGAGCAGATGTCTCTGTATGTATTTCCTCCCCTCTCCAGAGGACAGTAAATGCAAATTGCTCATTTGAGCAGTTTCCATCCAATTTGGTTGGTCCCCATCCTCTTGCTGTGAAATGTGCTCAGCTCTTCAACCAAATTGCATGGGATGGTTGTGAAGGCAGAATTCCTAGTTTGCATACTTTAAATTAGAGGAATGCATTAAGGTTCAGGAACCAGAGGCTCACACCACCCAAGTAACAAAGACCCAGGCCCTCAGGGAAGGAGCACAGTGATCCTTAGCAGCTCTGACACCAGAGAGAGGCAGCAGAGGATCTAATGGAACTTATAAAAAATGTATAGATCATTATAAAATGTTTTGAAATTTTAAGGTGAGCATCTTTCTTAGGCAGGTGTGTGAGGGATCACAATTTAAAAGCATCCACCTCCACCCAGGCCCGCTGTTGCTTTTAGGAAGGGGAGGGAGGAACCCTAATTAGGGTTTTCCTCCCTGGGTGTGGAGCTACCTTCTGCAGCTGACTCCCTCAGCAACTTCGTTTCCCTGGAACTCCTAGGTAAGCGGAAAACTCCGGAAACCAAAACCATGAAACCTACAGAGTTCCCTGAGGACAGGACCACCCAGAACCTTTCTATAACCAGTGATAACTGACCAAATTACAAGTCAGGAAAACCATGTTTGGTGAGTGATCATTTCTGAGGTCTCAGAATGTTCTCGCTCGACAGAGGACATTTGGATTCAAGGTTTTGGTTTTTGCATCTGGTTTGGAGAAAACTGTGTGGTAGAATTTCCTCCTCAGGAGGATGGACTGTCCTTCGAGCCTGCGGAAAGCACAGCCTGACCCTTTGTCTTCCCACAGCTGTGCCAGGGATCCCCAGAGACTCAACCACCACTGGGACCAGACAGCCATGTCACAGATATTTACCGGAGGCTCTGCCCTCCAGGAATTCAGTTGCACAGACTTTGGTGACAGGGATTTTTAATTGAGCTAATAAAGTTTCACTGTGTTTCTCAGTGGAGTCAAAAGTCCTGACATCCTCTGTTTCTAATCAAAGACATGTGGGCAGAAGACAGCCAGTGCCTTCCTGTTACCTCTGTGTACAAGTGTGGCCTAATGGCATCTCAGTCTGTCTGCCACCCATTTTCTGGACAGTTTTAAATAGACCACCTAATCTCCCTGCAACCGGAGAGGAACATGCACCTGGTGAAAGGGTGTCCTGCGGTATTTCATTGGTTGGTGGTACTGAGTGGTACTAAAACTGTGTTAGAAGCAAAGCTCTGGGTTGTCAAAGTGCCCATCCATCACCAGAAGCAAATTTATTCCACAGCACTTTGGGTCTTTTGAACTAAATCAAGTAACTGCAAAAAGTCTCTTGAATAAAAAGGAGAAGGTCCAAGTAATAACTTCATCCAAATGGGAAGTTAACCACCTTCTGGGAACAAAGTGTTTTTCTACTAGGGTGCAATGACTGTCAGGGTAGAAGACCACACACTCTCCTGGCAACATGTTTCTACACCCCGCTTTGTACTTTTTCCTCCAAGAATATTTACCAACAAAAGTCACAGTTTATTGCAAGGCCAAGTCAATCTTTCCAAATGAATCAAGGTGTTTGGGAAGTGGACAGTGCCATCAGAGCTATCAGATCTATTGAAATGATGAGAGCCACAGAGGGAGGAGTTAACATTTATTGAGCACCTACTCTACGATGGCGACTGCTGAGCGCCTGAGTGTTAGTTTATTAAAGCAACGTGGACCCGTGCAGCAGGTGGCTCAGCACCCTTATCTTAGAGAAGAAACTGAGTCGAATAGAAATTAAGCAATTTCCCCAAGCCTGTGCTGCTTGTAGTGACAGAACTAGTAAGGGGACACAGGCAGTGTGACTTCAGGCTAGTATGGGCCACATACAGGGATACCTCTGGGCTTCCTACATCTGGCTCAGAAGCGCTGCCCAGGTAAGAATTCTACTTCACTGGCCTGGAAGCCAAGAGTTATACAGGAAATATAATTCCATCTCACTTCCTTTGCCATCAATCCTATCTTACGGCCATAAAGAAGAACTTATTTTAAAGATAGACACTTCTTGAGTGAGAAAAGATTTCATACTAAGGTGCATGAGGTTCTTAAAGGGTAAATGTTTCAATATTTTGAAAGTTGAGGGTCCTCCAATATTGATAATGGCTGCATGAGGTATTTTGTTAAGGATCCTCGTCAGACTCTAAAACACAAGTCATTCCCCTCAGTGTGACTCACCAGAGATGTACTCAGAGCTTCTCCCATTTAAAACACTAGGAAAACAGCTCATCTACCCTGCTCATGGGAGTCCCCCCAAACTTCCCTAGGATCCAGAGGTGACTGTGTTGTCACACCTTCCTGAGAGTAAAAATTTTTTTCTGGAAAGAGGTTGGAAACAAAGAGCAAGTATCTTTTCTATTCTGAAACCAACTGAATCAGGATCTAAAGTTATGATTCCAACACCTTCTGCCCTGAAACAAAGCTTGGAGACCCGGCTGAACTGATACAGGGGTAGGAGAGGAGATTCCGGCACAGAAGGGTAGAAAGGGAGCCGTATGATAACTGCACACCCGGGCTTGCCTAGCTTATTTGACAGTTATCACAGATAAGTTGCTGCTTTCTGGGATTTGTTTGCTAACTCATGAAGCCAGAATTTATGTTGAGTAAATATTGTGTTTTTGTGGTCTTGGAGATGGCTGTGCATATTCAGCAAACCCTGGAGACCATGCATCCAGAGTGGCTGGCCACCATGAAAAAGAACTATCCCAAATCCCAGGTTCCACCGAAGCAGACTGAAGCAAGGGTTGTCTGAGTGCTGTGTGTGTGTGTGTGTGTGTGTGTGTGCGTGTGTGACTGTATATACACACATGTGCATGTGTAACTGGATAGCTCTGCTCACTAAGTCTGTAGGAGGGTTTTTGCCCAGAGTGGCTGGCCCTCCCTGCAGCACACAATTGGTCTACCACATCCTGCCCCTCCGCTTCCTCTGCTCCTTTCCCAGCTCAAGAAGCCAAGATGGGAAGTCTCTCACGACCCTGTGGCTTGGCCAGGAGAAAGCCTGAACTTGATACAGCTGCCTTGCCTGGGGCCTGGTAAGAGCATTTATCCCAAGTATGTGTGTTCCTTTTCTTATCTATTTTTAGACTGCTGTGCAGACCTCTCCCAGGGCTCAGAGATCTCTAGGGAGGCTGGGCCAGGCCAGGGAGGAGAATGAGGTGCTGGTGGGGCTGCTACACACCTGAGTGGAATTCAGGCAGTGGTTAGCTCTGGTTTGCTTTAAAAGAGAGAAAGAAAGTCTTTAGCAGCTCCTCTCCACCCTCAAAGAATGAAGGAGGTGGGTAAGGACATGTGACCTGAGAATCCAGGCATATGGAAGTGACAGCTCAGTAGGAAGGTCATGCTCCTAACCACAAGTGGCAGCAGCTGTCACAGTACAGGCCTGGGCAGAGCTGCCACCCCACCCTAGGAGCCATACCCTGCTCCTCAACCTGCTCTGGTGACCCAGGCCTCTTCACCTGCTGCTTGGGCAAGACTGTCCCCACTTACCTGCTCTGTGTCCTTCAAGCCCAGCTCAAATGCCACCAGAGCTTTTCCAGCTCAAAACAATTGAGGTGTGGCTGTTATGTTCTCCAGCTGGGAAAGGTGGGGAAAGGGACCATGTCTTAGTCATCTTTGTGTCAAAGTGGGCATGTAGCGGGGATGAGAGAGGAAGTCTGGCTGAGACCAGCCTGGGAAGCATGGCAGGTTAATGCTGGGTATCAGGTGCTCAGTAAAAGTGAAGGAATGAACTAACAGGTGTGCAACACAATGAGATGCAACAAAAGATGTCATAAATGGGCACAACCTGAAAAAAAGCATAAGCATGTTAATTTATTTTCCTGGTTATATTTGGTTGTACTTTCAGTTATAAAGCTTGTTCATTCGGTAAGAGTTGTGAATCTACTATGTGTTTTAAGAGATGTGAGTCAGGGGATCAAGTGTTGCCAGTGTGAAAATAAAACATAATAGTAAAATACAGAAAATATCTGCTCTGACTTGTCACCAATGTCAAACATACTCTGGCAGAATATCACATCTGGAATAATCAGACTTGACAATGGGAATTTTAAAGGAGAACCAGAAATCAGACGCTGGCCATGGGCTTTGCATGAGGCAAATCATTGCCAGTCACTCAAAAATGGTATTTTGGCGATGCTCCCATGAGTGTCTGCACAATTTGTCGGAGCCTGGTCACACGCACTCCTGGATGGGACTGAGCAGGTCAGATCTGGACCAGAGCTGGAGGATGAAGGCAGCCAGGAGCAGCTCAAGTGGAGACCAAGCAGAGGAACAGTGGCAGGCAATGGCCAGGACTTTCACAGCCCTTTTGTGCCTTTCCTGTTCCCTTGGGCACTTGGCCAGAGGGCGCTACCCTCCTCTGACAATAGAGAAGTTTCTTTCTCTTTCTCTGGGACACTGTGCTGAGTTTTCCCTCTCTGCCTATCCTCTTTGAGTGGTCTCCTTTCTTTGTATTCAACCCTTCCCCAAGAGCCACTTTTCTGACCACTTTGTTGACTCCCAGCCCACAGAAAGTAGTGAGCTCAGCCCAGGTGTCCAATCATTTGGGATTTGTGACCTGGTACCTTGGGTCTCCACTTCACAAAGGGGAATCAGACAGGAATGAGGAGGAACTACAGAATCACAGCAGACACCAGCACAGCAAGGCCAAGCCAAAGCAATGAGCCAAGTTTGAAGGACAAGTGACCAGGTAAGTCAGTACATAGAAGAGCAGCCCAGGATAAAGGATGGCAGAGACCTACCTGTCCAACGATGCCATGAGAATCGGCAGCAAGAGCAGACTTAACCCTGTGACTGGGAACAGCCTCTCAGAAATGGGCAGGCCATCTTGGTCATAAGTCTAGCTTTTACTGCTGGCTCAGGCTCAGCTGAAGAGGGGCTGAGAGTTCTGATGCCCTACAGAAAGGAGCTGAGTTCTACAGAGTTCTAGGAAGCTCCCCACGCCAGCAGTCCATCATCCAAGGGTGTAATCAGAATTCCTGGAGTGATTTCAAAATGTCCATGCCAGACCTCACCCTGAACCCTAGAGCCAGAACCTCAGGTGAGTTTGGCATGAGGCGGGCAGGCATGTATGTCTTTACAATATTACCCAGGTGATTTGGATATAACTACCCTCTGTACCCTGTCCAAAGAGGGCATCATAAGGGTCCTGCAATTTTTGAGGATAGATAGTAAGCATACTAAGCAAACAGCAGTTTGCCTCAAACTTAGCACAGCTCCTAATGCACGATAAGCCTACCTAAAGCAAATATCTGTCTATCCATCATATTACAGTGATCCATGCATACTCATTTTTACAGCAACACAAATCATGATTGCTAAATCTTGGAAATGGCCTAAATGTCCATCATCAGATGCACGAATAAAGAACACGTAGTATTCATACACAGTGGAGTCCTGCTCTTCCATAAACAAGTATAAATCTGAGTCATTTGTAGGAAAATGGGTCCGCAACTTGAGACAATAATCTTAAGTGAAATAAATCAGACACAGAAACTTAAATACTGCACGATTTCTTTTACATGAGAAACTCAAACTATAAATAGTTAAAGAGAAAAAAAAAAAGACAGAATAGAAAATAGGGAGATAGATCTTTTGTAGATGAGGAGGAGACCAAGAGATTGAGGGAGGAGAGGAAAAAAAGAAGTGAAAAGATTAAAATGTTTCATGTGAGTGTACCGACACTCCATGGTGATGTAATCATGAAGCACTGCAAACATGTACTAATAAAAATAAATTTTAAGAAAGTAAAATTGTGTCTACCAAAAGAATCAACAAAACGCATGTTCAAGCCTAACACATTAGGACTTCCCCATGCTGGATTTTCTGTCTAGACACAACCAAGCTTTCTAGCTACTCATTAGAATAACGGTTAAATATGACAACACTACTTGATTATCTTATCAACTGGTGTGGCTCAGCAATACCTGGCATTACCAAACAAAACAAGGATTTGTATTAACCTCACAGTTGAAAATGTAAAACAAAAGAAGCTGCTCCACCTAGCACAATTAATTATGTAATCTGAGGGTTAATTATGGTTTTAGAAACAATGAGGACCATAATTACAGGTCTACAGCCCCAAATGGAATCTGCAAGTGTTTGACAAGTAGAACATAAGGATGATGGAATGGTTTAACCATAGGCCTGACCGCAGGGCAACCATTGTGAGTCATGATTTCAGGTCATGGTAGGATTTTTCATTACCTTCCATTCTCCCACAGTAAGGATATTGAGTCCTGGGCCACTTGATGGATGTGAATTGGCTTGTGAGTGCAGGCTGGCCTGCTGGCTTCATGGCTTCAACCTGTGTACAGAATAGCCATGCAAATTAGCATGGGCCTCAGGCCAAATAAAATTAATCCAGGGCTAAAAGCAATCAAGTAAAAGGTGTCAAAGGGCAAACAGAGGAGAAACTGTGACTGGGAACAATGATGCTCTATTTTCAAGATTCTTTAACTCACTGCCTTGTGACTTTTTTCTTTTGTCCTAAGAAAACTCACAAAGTGGGAACTGCTAGTAGAAATCTTTCCACATATTTCCGAGATGGAAGGAAAAAGTTCATGTTGGAAACTAAATTAAGGGATTTAGAGAGGTCATCCCTGACATCAAATGTAAACTGGCCTTCCAGTATGGCCCCTTTATATCCATCATTTCCTGTCCCAGAACACCTAGATCCCACTTGCCACAATATGTCATTTTATTCTTTTATTTTATGGACTAAATCATGTCTGTCCTTCCCACTTCTGATTCCCAGTATGTGGTAGTCACATTCAATAGATGCTCATTAAATAATTGAGCAGACACTGTTTGTTGATCTAGAAACAGCTTTCATACCCAGTAAGAGCAGGCCACCCAGCTCTCATTGTCCCTTAGTCCAGCCGGCAGTATGCTCCTCCTTGCCGTTCTTCCTTCCTCCCTCTTCTGCCCACCTCTAAAGTCACTTGCAAAGGATGGGAGGGACCAGGAGTTTGGGAGGGACCAGGAATTTACGCAGACCTCATAGAAATCAGCCCAAAGAAACAAATACCCCAAATACAAATGGGAAATAATAAAAGCTCCTCATATATAAGTAATAAATACATGAAAAGATAGTCACCTTCAATAATAAATGTAATAATCCAAATAAAACAGTAATTAAGGTAAGTGTTCATGGCTGCCTGTGCCCATCAAATACAGAGTAAAGAGAAGAAGAAAGCCAAGCGTTTGGTTGCGTTGGAAATGACCATCCTCCCACAGGGATGGGCGGGATGTGTACTGACATGACCATCCGGAGAGAAGTGTAGGGATATACACCAGATTTAATATGTGTACATCTGTCATTACCCTAAGGGTTCCCAATCAAAGAATTTATTTTTATTGTGCTAAAATCAACCATGTGAACCATTTTGTAGGTGTACATAGAATAATTTTTATTTTAGTTTCATATTTTTTAAAAAATAATTTGTTTACATATCCAGGTCTAGGTATTTACCAATGAGCATATCTCAGATATGAATTTTTTAAAGATAGAGCAACTTCAATTTTATATGTTCCTGGAGTGATAACATATGTTAATGTTTTGAAGGGTGCAGTTTAGTGGCATCAAGCAGATTCACATTGCTGTCCAACCATAACCGCCATCTATCTGGGGAGCTCACTTTACCTTCCCCAGCAGAGCTTGTGTCCCCACAAAACACCAGCCCCTCAGTGCTCCTTCCTCCCAACTCCAGCACCCACCCTACTTTCTGTCTTTGTGAAGATACAAATGTAGGAGCAAAGTACACATACAAAAGATGTATTCCTTTACTTTAAAAAGTCTGACCTGAGGACCTACTACGTGCTAGGTAGCAAACAAGACAGATGAGGTTACTAGTCTTATATGCAAGAAAAAGAGTGGACCATAAACAGATGTATGAGCAATAAAGCAGACAATTAATAGATCCATATGATCATGATTTCCAGAGATACTGTAGAATGGGTGCAAAAAAAAACAAGAAAAGTACCTCCCATGGGGCTGGGGATTTAGCTCAGCGGCATAAGCACCTGCCTTGCAAGCAGGCAGTCGTGAGTTCAATCCCCGGTACCAATAAAAAATAAATAAATAAATAAATAAATAAGTACCTCCCATGCCTCTCAGGCACTGTTCATCACAGGGAACAAATTAGAAACAACTAAACCTCTAAGGCAAGGTAGAAAGTCCACCTGGTCAGACGCCAGCAGAGAAACATTCACTGCAGAGAGTAGAGCCTTTCTCAAAACCAGCTCCGTGAATCCCTGCGCCTCTTGTGCAGTGTTTTCCTGGAGAGGAAGAGTTTCCAACATCTCAGAGCAGAAAATAATTTAGCGGGGGTCCATGCCAATGCTTCTTTATTTTGCAAAGGAATGTGCAGATGACAGTTGCAAGTGTTTGATGTTCAACCCTCCCCAAACTGTAAAATAGCAGCAGGGTGATCAAGAGGCTGATCTAAATCTTCTTTTTGTGGTTTTAGTTTTGTTCTGGCAGGCTCAACAACACTGGGAAAAAATTACAGTGTGTGCATGGGAAACAGATTCCTCCTTCCTCGACTAACTGACACACAGGAGAGCGGGCACAGCGAAGGGCAATGGCGCTGCGGCTGATAGAGCTGGATACATGGAAAAATTTAAATAGCATCAAGGGCCTGGCCTACCCTGAATCCAGGCAGGAAATTCAAGGGTAATATAACACTTCGCTGTTAAGTAATGCCACTGGAATAAAAGCATGTTCAGGATGACTTTTGGCTTTAACTGGGAATTTCTGTTTCATTTGCTTCCAAAAAGAACTTTTTTATCCTCCCTAAAGTTCTTAACTCGTATTTCAAAAGTCCTTGTCGCTATATAAACATGATATATACACTAGCCTTGAATTAACGCTGTATGGTACAGAATGTGCTGAAAAACAAATTCAGGACCTCACTTTAGCCAAAGGGCCATCTGGCAGCGGCTTCCTATACTGCAAAAACAGGTTATAGACCTGCTCTGTCGCTTGCTTAGCTACCCGGCCTCATGTGAGTTAGCTGACATTTGCGCTTGTACAGGGGGAACAATAATACTTACTCGGAGAATAGGTACTTAGAGAGTTTTTGCAAGCATGAAAGGCTGGCACACAGTAGGGCTTTTCCTCCTTTTAACACTTGATAGCTGGACTAGCTCAGAGTGGAAAAGCACTACCACAGAAAACCAAAATGCACCTCTGTCTGGATAACTTGAGCTGGATCTGACGGATTCTCCTGTTTGGCTTTAAATCTCCTGGGCTGTCCGGAAAGCTGGGTTTTAGCATGAACTGAGTCACACCTTTGACTTCAAAGGGACTTTCGTTAACTGGTGCAACTCTAGATAAGGCAGGGGTGGTGTGGGAGACTCAGGCCCCCAGGAGAAACTGCTGAAGGATCTGCAGATGTCTAACCCAGAGAAGACACTGCAGGGACATGAGAGTTGTCTCCAAATATTTGAAGGGTAATGTCATATGGAAGAGAAATTAGATTTATTCTGCATGACTCTGTAAGTGGAGACAGATTCCAGTTTTATATATAGAAAACCTTTATTAAAAAATAAGACAGTCAAGGCGCAATGCTATCTTTGGAGGTAGGGAGGGACCCTATTCTAGGGGGATTCTGGCAGAGAATAGCTGTCCACTCCCTGGGAGTCAGACAGGAAATTCTGAACCAGAAAAGGGCTGGAGGAGTTGACCTTAAGGGCTTTTTTTTTGCAGGTCAGGGAGGCTGCAATCAGGTGGTTACATAAATTCCAGGTTTTGCAGCAGGACTTAATGAAGAATAGCCATGAAGTGGTGCCCAGCACACGCTGGGGAGAGCACAGGTTGTGCTAATGTGTGAACTTTAACCTCCTATAACAAAAGAATGCCGTGCCACATTAAAGACGGGGTGGAGGCTAAATTTAGCTGCTGGAAATGAAAACATTCAGACTTTATTGTATCGTATTTTACATGTTCATGTAGACATAGGAGCCAAGGGAAACCCGGCATTCAATTACATTTTAATTTTACCTCCTCTATCCACTGTGATTTTGACATAAGTAATTAAAAATAAACCTCGACCTCTGGCCTGCTCATTTTGGGGGGCTTTTTTTTCTTCTTTTCAGCTGCAGACCCCTACAGCTGTTAGTTGACTGCTTTTAACAATTAAACATTAAAGCTGCTGTAAACAGGAAGCTGGTATTTAGGTGGGAGTTCCCAGGACTTTTACACCACTGACCACGGAGGCCAAGAGAGAAAGGAAATAAGAAAAAAAAAAAAAATCAGCGTAAATACCTGGGTGAGTAACAACTAGGACCACGCAGCTCAGTGGGCTTTTCTGAATGTTTCATGGGAAGTCTCCTGCGGGAGGAGAGTGGGGGACACCCAGAGAGGTTGCAGAACTCCCAGTGGCACTCAAGGGCCAGACAGGAGTGTTTCCTGCATGCGGTGGGCTGATTTCCAGGCCTGGCTGCGGGCCGGTGGTAGAGAGGGCTGCTGGTCACCGGCCACTGAACCCCCAGGCTAGGACATTTGCATGCGTGGTGGCAGGGCGGCTTCCCTGAGCGCAGTTCCCAGGCCTTTCCAGGCCTCCGATTGTTCGGGATTGTAAGGCCACCCCTCTCCTTGTTCACAGGGAGCGCGCCTAAGAGGATTTAGGATCAAGTGGGCACGTTTGCTCGGCCTTGTTCTGAAGAGGCAGCTGGAGCGCGGCGGCCGGCCTGGTGCAGCCCGAGCGGTCTCGGAGGACCGCGCCGTCTTCCGAGGGGCCGCCGCGGGGGCTCCATTGTGCCCGGAGCAGGCCTTTCTCTTCTGCGCTCCTCTCCCGGGCCTCCCCCTGCACCCCCGCGCAGCCCGCTCTCTCAAGCTGCCGGCCGGCTGGGCCGCGCATTTCCCATGCAGAGCAGCGCGGGGCTCCGGGCTGGCCATCTGCACGCGAGATTGACAGCAGCCCCGGAAGGTCAGCGCCTTGCCATTTCTGTCTGAACAGCAGGCCACCCAGGCCTCCCGAGCAAAACAGGGACATCTGCTCCCCTTAATTTGGAACAGTGGTTCCAATTTCATCAGAGTCCCTCGCTCAGCGCTGTCCTCGGGCTCCCAGGGAGGGAAGGCAGGAGAGGGGGCCGAGCAGAGGCCACTGCTGCCCCAGGCTCCAGCTCCCCAGTCGGAGCAGCGGTGGGGAGCGGCAGAGCGCGCCCTCTCTGGCTTGCTGCGTTTTCCCGGTGAGTTCTTAGCAAGCACTCTATGGGCAAAATCCTGCCTGGCAGTTAGGGCAGCAAAACCCATCCTGCATATGTGACCTGATTGAAAAATACAGTGAATGTTTCATTTTAAAATGTGTCACAGTAAGAGAGGCATTGCCACTGACCCCTTCAAGATTTCCTCCCTCGCTGTGAACACAGTTCTCCCTGCTTCTTGTCACTTTCTGAAGCAAGTCTGGAAGTCCTCCTTCAAGAGCACCTTGCAGTTGTGCGGTCCTGGCTGCCTGGGTGCCTGCATCTATCCAGTGTCTGCCATGCTGGGTCATTTTAACTTCCTGGAAGAGGCAGAGCCTTGGAGGTGCCAGATCTGGTAGTGAAGTGGCTGAGGACACGGGGTTGGTCTTCACCAGCCTGCTTCTCCTGCGGATGGGACTGGGCAGCAGCACTCAGCGTGCATTCTACAACACTCCTAAGAAGACCTTCAGAATGCCACGCAGACTGGCGAGAATGATGGGGGAGCTCAAAGGGAGGGCGACTGTTTGGGGGGAGATTAATGGCTGTGTGTTCTTTACTGTAATAAACTTAAAATTTAAACAATTGTTATGTGTTTGTTCTCTGTGTGTGTGCACGTGTGTGTATATGTGCGTGCATGCTCAAGTGTGTTTACGACCTTGAGGAGAATGACCCTGTGCCCAAGGCCAAGTACCAATGCCTTTTATTCTCTCTTTTCCTTCACTGTTCCCTTCCTCTTTCTCTTCCGGTCCCAGACACATCATTGAGTGCCCCTACATGCTGGGTGTCAGACAGTGGACTAGGGACACACGAAAGGGAGGCTCCCAGCCAGCGGGAGCCAATGAGGGAGAGGTGCTGGGTTCAAGTCAACAGGATGCAGGGACTCTGAGTGGCAGTCCATGCTCTCTGTGGACCAGGTTGTCAGTGTGGCAGGAGACAGGGAGGGCCGGCCAGGAGACACATAGGGCCCTCTGCAGCCCACCTAAGACTTACTTTTGTACATTTTTCCTGTGTTTTCAGGCCTCAGGTGAAGGGCCCTTTCCTGGTGCCTCTACGGGACCCAGTCTTCCTTTTAAGCCGTCCTGTAGTCTTTCCTACTTCTTTTTGTGTAAGACTTCATGCACTTCGGCCGAGTTCATCATCCCTTTGGACTGCAGGCCTCTTGAGACAGAAACCAGCCATCCTCTTCCTGAGCTTTGTTACCACCTCTGGCATAGAGCCTTGCCTGGTATGTTCCCTAATGTTGGTTAAACCAGTGAGTGAGTATCGCATCTGTGCATTTTCTGTTTGCTAAGTGAGGCTGGGGCTGTACCTGCTCTACTCTGGACACCCAAAGAGGACTACTTGGGTGGAGGTGGATGCAGCTTGGAATTCATTGTTTGTGATATTATGCAGCGAGGTGATTTAGAAACTCTTCTACCAAGTGAGCAGGAGCCTGGTGCTCCTCAAGGAGGGTGACCCTCTTTGACAAATGGGGTTGTTAGCTGCAGATGTTGCAAAGCTTGCGATGAGCTCAGTTCACAGTGGTCCAACTGCTTGCGTCTGAGCAGCATGTAGTAACACTTTGATCTAGGGAGGGGATTAAACTGAACCGTCACTTTGTTCACTTCTCCCAGTGCTTTCCAGGCCCTCAGAGGGGGGAAGCAGCCTATTACAGGTAGGCTCCTTCCCCTTGGACTCTGTTGCACTGTGTGACAAGCTTGTTTTGTTAACACTGAAGATGTAGAATACAAAGGCACTGTAGTCCCCTCTGTCTGCAGGGAATCCATTGCAGGACCTTCAGTGGATCAGTTCCAGACCCCACCCAGTTTTCCTATGATGAGTTCACTTTATACATTTGTCACAATTAGAGTAACAATAATAACTCATAATAAAATAGAACAATTAGAACATACTGTAATAAATATTACTTAAAATACATGAAGTATTTATTTCTGGAATTTTCCATCTAATATATTCAGACTGTGATCAACACTAGTAAATCAAACCAAGGAGAGGTGGTGTTATGGTTTAGATTGACTCTTCCCCAGCTCTTAGGTATTCAGAGGTGGGCTTCTAGAAGATGCTGAAGCAGCTGAAAGTAGAGTCCAGATTCCTTGGGTGTGACCCAGAAGAGAACCCTCCCTGGCTTCTCTCTTTGATCTTTGCAGGTTTCCTCTGCTCGGGGCCCTCTACCACATCCTACAACCACCATGGACGGTAGCCACAGCCAAAATAAACCTGTTCTCCTTTAAATTATGGATTTCAGTATTTAGCCCCATGATGAGGAATGTGACTAAGACTGTGTAGTGTTGCCTGCGTTTGGATCTATTTGTACCATTTCTTTGCTTTATGGTTTGGGAGGCATTCCTTGGCATCTCTGGACCTCAGGTATTCTATTTGTGAAAAGAGACAATGATACCTAACTTAACAGTAAAGTTTTTGTTTTTAAAGCTCTCATACCCATTTAGAAATCTTCTAAGTACAAATTTCACTTAAATTCTAATAGCTGACTGATTAAAATTAAATTTCCAATCTCTAATAGGTTAAATGATCTAATTAAGGCTGG